CCCCGGCCCCCTGGCCGGCCGTGCTCCTCTGCCTCTGTTCCTGGGATTCTGCTGGGTTGCGGAGGCTGGACTCAGGCCGGACAGGCCGCCTTCCTCCCAGCCTTGGCACACAGCCCCTGGGCAGTCACCAGCGACTGGTACAGACAGTGCCACCTCAGGAGCCTGTTACTCACCGCGGCCCCCACAGGCCAGGTGACTGGAGAGTATTAGAGTCACCTGGTCCAAACTCGCACCTGAAGGTCACAGGCTGCCAAGGACACAAGAACATCACAGAGCCCTGGGCTCCAGCCTCCCTGCCTCTCCTCCTCGCTGGCCTTAGCAGACCTTTGGGTTTGGCTGGCTCCCGCAGAGCTGCTGAGTGTTGGCGAGGTGCCGGGAGACGACGGTGCTCAGGTGGAGGAAGTGGGATGGCCACTGTGCCCGTGTCCTGCAGGTGGGCCCTGGCTCAGGGCCTGTGAGGTGGACAGCAGGAGCAGGGCTCGGCCGGGGTGCTGGCGTTCTGTATCCGCTTTCACAGGGTACCGTGCTGCCGATGAGCGCAGGGGCCAGAAGGCAGCCTGGTTTGCGGTCTTACTGGACTCTGCCATGCAGTGGTGGCGGCGGGGACAGGCCCGTCACATTTGGCCATCTCCACAGGCTGCAGGGAGGCTGGAGGACGCATTGTGAGGATGAGGAGGATTGAGAGGCTCTGCTCACAGCCTTGCAGCTGGGAGTCAGGTTCTAGCACCTTCCCTGGACAACAGTGGGGCCTCTTTGGTCCCTGCACTCGGCTGCAAAATGCCTTCCTGGGCGGCTCTGCAGGGCCCCATGTCTGCCCCGAGCCCCTCCGCCAACCTTCATCCTGGGCCATGGGACTGAACTCCCTCATACCGTCTTGGGAGCCCCGAGGCAGGTGTTGCCCACTGTGAAGGCCACTGGCCCACACCCACCTCTCTGAGACGACTCCCTCCCCTGGACACTCACCCCATGGCTTTATTCCAGTTCACGGTCTCACGTCGTTTCTCCAAGGCATTCCCAGGGTCTGTGGTCGCCCTCCTGCGCAGAGCAGGTTTAGCCCCAGCAGAACCGGCCGGCGGGACGGTGTTAGAGAGCACATTGGTCGTACTTCAGGGCAAATCGCTGGGGAGCTGGTTTAGCATCACAAGCCTGTCTGGACCAGCATCCCTTGGCCTCAGGGTGCACTCCGAGGTCCCAGCGGACTGAGTGCTGGACTTGGGAAGTGTCTGCCCTTGACAGAGCCCAGAGTTTCCCTTTCCAGAGCAGATATGAGGCCCCGCCCCGTTTGCCTTAGGTGAACCGCTGGCAGCCAGACCTTGTGGGAGGGGACGGAATGGGAGTGTAGGTCAGCACCTACGAGGATCCCTGTCGCCTTTGCAGAAGTCGCATCCATCTTCCAAGAGTCAGAACCATGGGACCAGCCAGATGGCATGGTGGTTAAGGCATCTGGATTCCACATGGTCATCTACATGGTTCAAGCCCCAAACCTGATGCCTTGGGGGAAAAAAAGTGGGAAGCATACTGGACCTTTGTTTTGTTTTAAATAAGTATTTAATTTTATTTATTATTATTACTTTAATTTGACTAGAGAAAGACAGAAAGACAGAGAGAGAGGGAAAATGAGAAAGCAAGTTGCTAGATCTGGGACTTGAACTGGTCAGGCCTGTGGGAATCCAGCGCCCTCCCCACCACACCGCTGGACCTTTGAACACAGTCGTCCTCCTCGGGGCTGGGGTGAGGGGCTCTGCTTGTCTGGGCACCCCCGGTGCCTCCTGGCAGTTGGCCTTCTCTCTGGGCTCGAACCCCTCTCAGGGCCTGTTTTCTCAGTTGGTTCCGTCTGGATGTGCCGAGTTTCAGCGTGAATTACTTTCCTCTGCTCAAACCATCACCCACAGCACGGAGGGCGGAGACTCGCTGTGCTTAAGTTCATGCCAAAAAACGAAAAGTAAAGAAATCCTGGCACCTGACATCTGTCCTGAGCTTTGCCTTCCTGGATGGTGCCACGCGGGGGCAGCCCTGGACGGGAAGGCCCCAGGGCACCAAAAACGAAAAGTAAAGAAATCCTGGCACCTGGCATCTGTCCTGAGCTTCGCCTTCCTGGGTGGTGCCATGCGGGGGCAGCCCTAGGCGGGAAGGCCCCATGGCACTGAGACCCCCACCCTCGCGGAGGGGCGGCGGCCGGGCGCTCTCTCAGTCCCGGTGGGCTCGGTGGTGCCTGCACGGCTCTGCGTCCCACCCGCTGTTGCCATTCACATCTGCGCATGTCTGTCTTCCCCAGAGGAGATTCTGAAGACCCACCTCGCACACTGGTGGTCCCCGGACGGCACGAGGCTCGCCTACGCCACAATCAACGACTCCCGCGTGCCCCTCATGGAGCTGCCCACCTACACGGGCTCCGTCTACCCCACGGTGAAGCCCTATCACTACCCCAAGGTAGGCGGGGGGAGCCGCAGGACAAACTGGATCACGCCCGCACTCCCCACCCCGGGGGCTCGGCGTGGAGGTGCACAGAGCCATAACGCAGGATGAATTATTTCTCAGTACATTGCGTGAGACTCCCAGCTTCAGTGAGTTGAATTTGTTGGAGGCTCTACTTTATATTAAGTAATTGAGCCGCTATTAATCATTGTCTAAGCTTCATTGGAACCGAAATAAATTCTCTTGCCTCCACTTGTGACCGCAGGGTGACAAAACACAAGCAGCCCACGCTCACTGTTCCCGTCCCCTCCCGGACTCCAGCTTTCGGAGTCAGGAGGCCTCCCATCAGCCCCGGTCCCGGTCCCCGTGCCTGGGCGAGGCTGTTCCGTGTAGGCTCATTGCTCTGGTCTGAATGTTTGTCTCCTCGGACTCCGACCCCCAGGGTGTGGCATCAGCCGGTGGGCCTGTGGGAAGCGGGGAGTTGTGATGCCAGGGCCTCGTGATTGGGATCAGAGACCCAGAGAGATGCTCCCCTCTTCCCTCCACTTCGGGGCTGCAGGGAGAGGCTGGCCCCCGGAACCAGGAAGCCCGCGCAGACACCAAACCTGCCAGCACCCTGGTTTCCACTCCCGGCCTGAGAGCTGTGAGAAGCAGGCCCTGCTGCCCACACGCCGCTCTGTTCGGCTGTCTATGTCCTGGCCTGGGAGGCTGGACGTCGAGACCAGGGCGCTGCCGGTCAGCTCCTGCAGGGGCTCTCGTCCCGGCTATAGGCAGCCTTCTCCCGTGCTCAGGGCAGTGAGGGGAGTCGGGCCTCTTCCTGCCCTTGCAGAACACAGACCCCGTCAGTCCACCCTCCTGACCTCATCCAGCCTCCGTCTCCTCCCAAAGGCAGACTCCTTCCCAGCAGCCCTTTCGTCGGTGCCACCCATATCTGAGGGGCCCAGAATGGAGGGGCTTGAGTCCTCTGGCCTCCTCCTATCCTGACAGTGTCCGGGTGTCCATCCGGGTGTCCACACCAGCACGGGTCTTCCTGACAGCCCTCTCATCCCCACTCCAGCTCATCGCGGTCAGACTGCATGCGGCCATTCATGCAGGGTCCCGGGTTCCCTTGGAAGCACGGCTGACTGTACTGATGTACACCGAGGCCCAGCCACGTGCCACAAGCGGTGTGAGCCTGGGCCTCGGGAGGGGCCTGAGTGCTCGCCTGTGATCCCACCAAGCAGGGAGTCTGGGGCAGGACCTGTCACAAAGCCATTCTCTCTGTCCCTGTCCCTTCCTCCTCCCCTTTCACCCTCCCGCTCCCGTTATAACAGAGTACACTGGCTGACGCCTGGTCTTTCCAACCCTCTGCCGCCCACCCCCCAGTACACACGCCACAAAGCAGGTGGCCGTCTGACCTCATCCCCCGCCCAGCGGTGGGATGGTTTCCCTGGGGATCTCTGTGATGGGAGTCCCCAGTCTAGGTGTGGTGACCCGAAATCCAGCAGGCCCCTTGATTCAATGGACTCTGGGACGTGAGCCCTGCGGCTGGGATTAGGAAACCCCTGGTCCTTTAGGATCTGAGGTTTCCAGCCTCAGTAGGAAGTCAGCCCGTTCTGACTGACAGAATCCAGACGCCACTGCCTGCCCCAGCCACTCCCAAAGCAGAGCCTGGGTTTGGTGAGGCCTCCTGATGGGCCTCGTTATGGGGGGCCTCGGTAAGCCCGAACACACTCTGCAGGGCACAGAGGACGTGAGGGCATAGACCACGCCCGCGGTTCCCACCACACGCTTCCCTGGCCCCAGAGGGAGAGGAGGGGTGAAGCGGGACAGGCCCCGTCCTCCCTCACAGGACCTCGTTTTCCCACTGCCGAGTCATAACCCTGCTCATTAATGTCGTGTTTGCCCGCCTCCAGCTCCCCTCGGCCTCGCTCTGCACCCCTCTTTTCTTCCCCGCTCCTTGCCTGGTTTCCTCCCGGCCCTCCCTCCAAGCTAGTGGAGGAGTTGGCACACGGGTTGGGGGGCGGGGGGCCGGACACAGCAGGAAGGGGTGGGATCAGCCCAGTTTTCTCTGTCCATTTAAGCTGTGCTCCCCAGGGTTGCCCTCCAAAGTTGCTAGGGTCCCACTTACGAATCTCTGTCCCTTTTCAATCCCCAGGCTGGGTGCGAAAACCCCAGTATTTCCCTGCACGTCATTGGCTTAAATGGACCCACCCACGATCTGGAGATGGTGCCACCAGACGACCCTCGAATGAGGTTGGTTTTCTTCTTTCTCTTAGTCGCCAAAGCTGTGATGGACATCCGCTGACATGGTCTTGCCAGGGCCAGATTTATTTCACTGCTAATGCAGATGTCCCCAGACATAGGTACATTTTCTAAAGTGTTTTCCACTGCCTTGTGGTTCGGCCTATCAAAGCAGGGCTATTTCCCACCTAGTCAGGAGCAGGGCGTCCCACAGGGCCTGGCTCTCTGGGAAGGGAGTGTGGGGCCGTGCACATCTCCATGGGTACCCACCCTACCCAGGCAGACACCAGGCGGCTCACGGATAGACTGATGTAGCCCTTCCAGAAAGATCCATGGGCGGGACTCCCTGCAGATGGCGACTGTCTTCAGAGCATTGTTTGACAACATCCATCATGTGCCAGCTCAAGGGACTGCCCAGTAAACCCTGATCTAAGGCAAAGCTCCCGGACGTGACGACCATGCAGTTGGTAGAACATGACGGCAATATTGCTGTTTGGTATTTTATAATCAAAACACCTGCGTGACCTCTCCAAGCAGTTCAGTATCGTCCCAAACTTCAAGCAGTCCGAGGACCGATTCTACCTCCAAAGCCCAGTGACATCATCATGAAACCTCTTCCTGTTGCAAATATCACTGGGAGGCCCCCGAAGAGGAGGGACTTATAATAGCAGCAGGCCCCCCATGTACGGATCTCAGTCTCATCATAACTGGGCTTTGTGGTTTCAGCGGATCATATTCCTCCTGAGGCTCAGTAAATACCCATCCCAGATTTTTTCATGCCTCCATGCTGGACCCTCCTTATTGTTTTCAGAACTCTACATTATTAGCTTCTGGAAGCTTCCAGAAAGGCCCGGCTCAGATCTGGCTGGGGGATGGGTACTCTGCAGTGGGAGACTCTGGTCTGTCTGAATGAGGCACTCTCTGAGGGCTCGCCTGCTGCCTGCCCCACACCCCCAGTGCCTGCACAGAAGCCCGGCCTCTGCAGAGTCCTGCCGAGAACTCTTCTTCCTTCAGTGAAGCGTGACTACCTGAGTCCTTAGAAGGCCGGCCCACGCGCAGAACTCCACGCTCTGTAAAGGCCGGCCTCTGACTCTCCCTGCCCGGG